CCATTGGTATATGATATGTGACTTCTTAGGAAAAAAATTGTTCATCTTGATAATTTGTCGCTTAAATCTCTCTCTCTCTCTCTCTCTCTCTCTCTCTCTCTCTCTCTCTCTCTCTCTCTCTCTCTCTCTCTCTCTCTCTCTCTCTCTCTCTCTCTCTCTCTCTCTCTCTCTCTCTCTCTCTCTCTCTCTCTCTTAGTTTGCCTAAGTTGCTGCCTTTATAATGCCTGACCCATTACTACTGCCGCAATGCTTGAACCGTTGCCATTGAAGTGATATCTGAGTTGCTGCCTTGCCATCCAAAGCACACACAATCAAACACACACCCTCTGTCTGTGTATGTTTGTATGTGTATCTTTGTATATATGTGTATCTGTGCCACACCAAGGTCGTGTAGTCCATATGATGGAGGTCGCGACCTTCTAATGACCTAATTCTTGAGCTCCCCTTAGGTGGGAGACATAGCCAATCTATGTGCCAATCTAAGGTTGAGATTTCAAACTGGGCGCTTGAGGTTGCGATGGCAATCCTTGTCGAATGATTCCAACTTTAAAAACGAAAAGTACATGAGATAATGACACAAATGGTTCATAAACTTTGGCTAAATGTGTAATGTGGTTCTTGAACTTTTAATTATTTAGTGTGGTCCTTAAATTTTAGTTCAATGTGCAATATGGTCCATGAACTTTTAATTTGTTCAATAGACTTTTGGTACATATCTAATGTAGTCCTTAGACTATATGAAAACGTTTAGTATTGTCTTTCTATTAATTCGAGTTCAGAGACAACATTGAACATTTTCATATAGTCTACGGACTAACTACATTGAATATGTACCAAAAGTTCAAGGATTACGTTGAACAAATTAAAAGTTCAGGGACCACATTGCACATTGACCTAAATTTCACAGAGTACATTGCATATTGGGCCAAAATTCAGAAACAATTCGTGTCATTTTCCCAAATTACAAAGATACATATCTAGAATGATCTATGTAAATTATCAAGATTATATCACATCAAAATTCTTTTTTCTTTTTAGATTTGGGAGGGAGGGGGGTGGGGGGTGAAGATGCTCATCATAGTTGGGGTTTGATGCTCTCGTTGCTCCTTTAGTATTGGGTTGAAAGGGGAAAAGAGTTTTTGTGCTCGTGGAATGGAACAATGTATGTGTACGCATTCCCACCACCCCCCACTCCAAAAAGGGAAAGTCTTGATCATCATTAAACAATTGCCCACTTCCCTAAAGGGTATAAATTTTTTATTTTGTGCGGTACCCACCACTTACCATCATTTTAAAGTACACCCAAAGAACAAGAATCCCTTGGCATACGAAGACGGAACAGTGAATGGTGATTGAATGATGAGCAGCTGCATTATTTTCTGCAACTGAGCATGTAGCCCTAGCCCTCACTGTCCAATCATTTTGACCCCCCTTTTGTTTAACAGCTAGTTAACCAACCTACCTAGATCTCCATTGATGACTTGGGTTTGGCTTTTATCTTGTTCATCCATAGTCCTTCCAATTGGATTTGAATCCAGCTTAAGGTGATTGGTTCAGATCATTTGACAAATCATTACACAGTTCATGTGGGAATCTTTCATGATTTTGAGATGGTATATGTTGATGAACTAAGCGGCTTTCCTTCTCTCAAAACAGCACAACCAATCGAGTTTGTCAAGCAATTGAAGGTACATGGTCCCATCTATCGGCATGAGGGCATACACGCCTAAATAAAGGCAACCGATATAAACGAGCGAAAAAGCTGTGCGTGAGGAATTGAATTCATGGCCTCTGACCTTAACACCATACCGAGGCTGCTCGAGAAAAGTTTTTCTTTTGTAAATGGTGATTAGTATAGAAATATAATGTTTAACGAGGTGCTTTACGCAAGAATCGAAATCTACTCGCGAATGTATAAAAGCAATGACGTCCCCGCAAACCACGCACTCGCAAGGATTGGTCGGGACAAATGTCGATGATTCTCAGCATGTTATTATTTGTGCTAAACTAATATAAAGCAGTAGAAAAGCAAAAAAAGCATATATACTTTAAGTTGCTTTAGCGCCGTATTAGATCTTTGCGTGAGCATGTGTTAATGAGTCTCTGTTGGTCTCTCATTGGCTGAATCAATCCAATTCATGAAGAGCACCTTCTAAAATCTTTTTCTCAAAAACAAATGTGTATATTGTTTTCTTTTCCAGAAGGTGGGGCCTGCCATTAGGGTTTCTTGATTTAGTTTATGGCCTGAACGCAGTTGAAATGATAAATTAGTTAAGGAAAGTGCATGTCTCTTTGCAAGAACGAAATATTGCCTACCTTTTCTTTGTATCACGATGGATATATTCCAAGGCATGAAGACACACAGCAAAAAACATACCCTAATTTTAATTGGCACTACTTGTGAGGAACATAGTCAAAGTATATGGTTTCTTTCCCTATTTAAGGAGGTCCAAATATCTTTTACATCAAGTTTATGGTTTCTTTCCAGAAGTTCGAAGAATGGAAATTTGAACTTTGATGAGAGACTGAGGGAGGATTTCAAGATTCAAACGCAAAGTCTTCTTCTATAAAATCGAGTGGAATTGATGTGAATCTGTTTGGACACATGATAAAATAGTAGATGAAGGCATCTTTAATAATCCAAAATATTTTCCAGAAAGAGCAAGAGGTTCTTACCTTTGCTTGTAGTATCTTCAAGATTTGCAATTTAGCATAGACGGAATATCGTCAAATTGAGTATGCCATTCCAATTACTCCAAAACTCTATATTGTTTACCGAATCTCCAAAAGTCAATAGAACAATGATATTGACACTCCCCGACACGTAATTTTGTTTTCTAGTCATCTTGTAAAAGTTGATTAAATGACATAACATGTCATATCAACCCAACAACACAGAGACTAAAGGATTGAAATCTCTCGCATTTTGGTATCAGAGTTAGTGCCCGACTTCTTCACGCCTACTTTTACCCTTTTAAGGCTTTGCTCTTGATTGTTGTTGCCTAATGATTAAGTCTATCACAGCATTTGCGCTCTTTGGTGCCTAATGCTGTCTCCTAGGCAACGCATTGTAATAGTGTTGGCATACACTTAAGCAAAGAAATATTTTCGTGTTGCAATTGTAGTGGTATAAGGTCATTGTAGTGAAAGTCTTAGGTTTCTTTGACAATCAAGTTATTACCTATACTACATATAAAGCAAACGTTAAATTTGGTATCCACATTTAAATGATTAAAATACCTTTGTTTTCAACTTTCAATGTAAAAAAGAAGTAAAGAGCAATTAGATATTAATAATGAAAAGCCAAATTTCCCAAATGATGAGGTGACAAATCTATAACTTTTATGTATCGTATATTTCATTTTTAAAAAATCTTATCCTTATTTTCTTACTTAAAACCATCAAATCCATTTTCACTTTTGGCCTAACTTTTACTTAAAACTGTAGAGCACCCACGGATGATCTAGGTACGCATAGAACAAACTCAAATTGCCTCGAACCTTATAGCCCTAAACCTTAGTTGATGTCGAAGACATAGAAATTTGATAAGGTTGTATGAAAGTTTTTTGATGGAGCCGGATGACTGGACAAACCCAACCCATCTATCTATCTCCACAGGCACATGAACGAGTGAAAAGCATCGATATGACTTGAAGAAAGCGAACGTGATGAACGCAGGAAGGACTAGCGTGGGGATTGGGGGCCGATACATGTCGAATCACTAGACGCATTGGTAACCGTGATTGAGATAAACGAGCCTTAAATTCATATCCCAGATCAATCACTTGACGACAAGCTGTGCACTAAAGACGCTTGATGGCAATAGCCCTTGACTGAAAGATCCAGTCAAACATGTATTTATGGATATGGTCTTCCCAGGTTGAGTTGGATTGACAGTGCTATCTTTTTCATTCCCTGTTGTTTTCCTCTTCCCAAAATCATGGGTCTTATCTGCAGTTTCTTGGTCTTTTTTTCTTTCCTTTTGTGCTCCCTAAGCTCGATCAACTCCTCAGTACGTTAGCTTCTACTGTGCAATTTGGACCGTGGTCATTGAAACTTTATCCGCATGATTAGATAACAAGAAGATCATGTTTAAGTAGAGAATTCGATCAGGAAAGGGGAATGTAATGGCATCAATAACGAAGAAGCTTACAGCGAAGAATGTTAGGATTATTGATCTTCATGTGGAATGGTGAATGCACATCAAGGAAACAAAAAAGAAAAAGAGACCAAGTAAACGGTGAAATGCTGACTATGAGATTGAAAAAAGGGAGGAAAGAGAGATACCAAATAGATAGGTTTATCTCATAATTAACTGGATGTCCCAATCAAAAGTTATTTTTGTCATTCATCTTTAAAAACATTGGTGTATTTAGCCAAAAAGGGTGTACAAATATCTCCGCTTAACGATAATGCACTGAAAACTGTAAATTTTTCTTAAGTAGTCTGCTTAACAAGTGCCGAGAACACTTTTGAGCAAAACCCTAATATTGAATTATGCTTATAAAAACAATTGTGATCGAACTCAATTTTTTCAAGTGAAGAAGACAAGTAGACTATTTCCTCTTTGTATTGTCGATACTTTATATTGGATGGACGAGATGTTGGAAAATATCCTTTTCACCTACGTGGTCTCTCTCTCTCTCTCTCTCTCTCTCTCTCTCTCTCTCTCTGTGGGGGAGTGATTAGCAATAAAATATTAGGGCAACCAATGAAAGAAGAAGCCCCATTTATGCTGTGCCCGGCCACCATCTCTCTCTCTCTCCATCTATATAAACACCATCACGCTAAGCTTGTTCCTCCACAGCATCAAATCATCACAATCCCTTGTTCCTCTCTAATAGAACAGTAACGCAGAGTGAGGGAGTTAGGATCTGAGGAAGATGATGCACGCCAGATTCGACGGAGTGGACAGATCGATCTGGGGTAAACAAGGGAGGTGACAGAAGAGAGTGAGCACACATGGTACTCTTTCTTGCATGTCTTAATTCATGCTCGAAGCTCTGTGTGCTCACTCTCTGTCTGTCACCCCCTTCTCTCTCTCTCTCTCTCTCTCTCTCTCTCTCTCTCTCTCTCTCTCTCTCTCTCTCTCTCTCTCTCTCTCTCTCTCTCTCTCTGTTTTTGCTCTTCTCTTGTTTATGCATGTGTGAATTTGTGATGCATTTTCTCTGCCTGTTGTGTGCATGTGTGAATTTGTGATGCATTTTCTCTGCCTGTTGTGTGCTTGATCTGCCCAGAAAACCTTGCATCTTTTTTGTTTGCTGTAGTTGTTTTAAGGTTTCAAAGTACAACCTCAGTGAACATATGTTTTCTTTTTTGGGTTTTACCAGATCTTCTATGTTTGTACTTTTATACGCAGCTGATAATTTGCCCCCAGCGAAATGGAAGAAGCTAGGGTTGAATTGAATTTAATAACAAAATTTTTCCCCTTAATTTTTTTTTTGTGTAACTGACCGATAGATCCTGCTCTTGTACTTTTTTCGGTACTTAAAATGACAAAAGGTCTGTACTTTCACCATCCAAAAATTACAGTGTCCAAGAATTCTGTCTTCCTCAAATAATTTATTAGTGAGTAGTGAGATCTTTTTTGTTTTTTGTTTTTTGTTCTTTTGGTTCTGTGTTTTTGAGTTTTAGCAGATCTAGACTTCCTGTTTCAGAAAAACCATCTCCAAGGTTGTAGATTCCCCAGAAGAATCAGATCTATCAGTTTATTCTTCTTCTCCTTTCAATCATATTTCATTTCACCTTCTTCTTTACATTGTTTATGTTGGAGTTTTTCCTTTTCCATTTTCCTTTTTTGGGTTTTTGCAGGGTGATGCATTTTGAGATGGGTTCTTTACAGGAGTGGCAATTTCAATTGATCCTGAGGTAAACTTGCAACATTTTTATATTGTATTGTATTTTATAGTTTCATCTTGTTCGCTACTTGTATATCTTTATTTTTCTGGTTCAGTAATGCTAGTTATGCTAAGGCCGATTTACAAGAATTGATATCCTAAGTGATATGACAGATTATCTGTCATTTTAAATGCTCATTTGTAGTCTCTCACGTCATTTTCTATAACATGTTTGCGTTGTGTGTCAATTTTAAAATACCTAGCATTAGTCCTTCGCAATTTCTCTTTTCATTTTCATTTTGGCTTTTGGGATGTAATAGATCTCTCTCTCTCTCTAATGTTGCAGGATTAATTCATCAGTCTAATGAAATCTAAGATTTCTTAGGTCATTTCATATTAAGTGGTTTTACATGTTGTGGGCTTTACTGATGAGATTTGATTAATTATTTTGTCAATTGGTACCATTGGAGTCAATATTACATTAAGCCAATAGAGAGATCACTTTGTTTTCTGAGAATAAGATTCTTGGCTAAAATAACGATGAGTGGGTGTTTCACTTTAATTAGATTAAATAGATCTCACTTAACAAATGACTGGTTACCCTTGCCCTATGGCTCTACAAAACTTACAAATCAATGGGGAAGAACATGGAATTAATTAGCGTATCATAGGTTGACCGGTTGTCTTTGTGATTCTGGGAATGACCTATCTGGTATATGTCTTGATACAGGGCCTCAAAAAGGTTCCATATTCTTAATCTAATTGAATTAATGTATCAAAAAGTTGATTGATTGAATAAACTTTCTCCTATTATTTAGGATTATGTTTACCTTTTCTTGTTCTAACAATAACCAACAAGCCCTTTCCCATTGGTTAGCTTGTTTCACTACATGGATCTTTTCACACGATTGCATTTTCGTAGCTTGCCACATCTTCCTTTACATCCAAATGTTTGAGATCTTTTTTTCCCCAAAGTATCAGTATGTCCATATCTTTTTTAGCCTTCCCTTGCTCATTTTCTGTATTTTGTTAATCTTTACTGTTAGTTTAATTCTTCTTAATGAACACTCCAGTGGAAAAAAAGGATTCATTCATAGGATTTAATTTGCTGGATTGACCTTTCCATAGTTAAGGAGGATCTGGTCGATTTTGCAGGTATATAGTTTCACAACCCATATGGACCAATTGTGACTGAAGTACTCTCATAAGTTAGAACTCTCAGTCTCAAACGAACTAAGGGCGAGCTAGAGCACTATAAGATCAGCAGCAAAGTAGCGAGTGACAAGATCATATCCAGAATCTTGTGATGGCATAATAAGTGTATCTTCATGTACTTGCAATCTGAAAATGCTTTCTTGCTGATTGGATCATGCACCTCGGTGGTGCAGAGCCATCTCTCTTTTTGGATATATGGAATTAGAATGGATGTCAAATAGGGCATGAATGTTCATTGTTCTGAACATAGCTCAGAACTCATGTTGGCTGCATTACTCTCGATGATGCTATTACTTAAGTTAGCAATTTATCTTCATTGATGTGTTATATTATCACTGGATTCTCAGAGCACTTGTTTAAGCTTTACTATATGGACAGAAAATTTGTACCTTGAGACGATGAAGTGTTGTAATTTTACCTCCATCTTTTCGAGTTATTAGCACTATTTGTAATGATGGGGATGCCCCTAGGTTGCTGTATTTCATGTGATTTATAATACCGACATTTTACACCAAAAAAGAAGAGGATGAAAGACCTTCGACCACTTCTTAATATTGTATGATCATTTGCTTGATGGAAAGTGAAATATAGAAACCAAGTCATTACGTTCTGAAGAGAAAAGTTCAATTACAATGGAGATGTGTTGATATTTACAAATATGCTATAGAGGAATGTTTATGTCTTGATGCCAATCCTAATGGTACAATTATTACTTACTAATTAATTCAATTTCGAACATTGAATGTGAAAATCCCAAAATGTGGCGACAAAAGATGCAAAAATGTGGGGGGCCATGGCGGTGGGTTGCTGTGCTAGTCTCCCCCGAGGAATAGTCGAGGTGCGCGTAAGCTGGCCCGGACAGCTCGGTTACCAAAAAAAAAAAAAAGATGCAAAAATGTGGGGGCCCTGGCGGTGGGTTGCTGGGCTAGTCTCCCCCGAGATATAGGCGCCCCGATTACCTGTGCGGGCTCGTCCCCCGGGAATGGTGGCGGATCCTCGGTTACCAAAAAAAAAAAAGATGCAAAAATGTTGTTCTAATTGAAGAGTTTGATTGTGGGTTTTTCTTCCACTATTGTTAAGATTGATTGGGTTTGTTCTTCCTTGATTCTGATCTAATCCTATTGATTCTCATCCTTGATTGTTTATAACTTCAATGTTATTTATAATCAACACCAATCAAAGGGCGATTTTTTGTTTGAATCTTGTGATATTCATCTTTAGATAGAAAAGGGTTAGCTGCTCATTTTTCGAGATAATAAATTTGTAATTTATCTAGCAAACATGGTTAATTCAAAGAGGTAAGATAATTTCAATTCAAAGAGGTAAGATAGTTCAAGTGAAGAAAAACATGTGACACCAATCACTAAAATCAATTGACCAAAAAAATTAACTTACTAGGGTCATGTTGATGATTGCCTCAGGAAAAGTTGCTGTTGCTAAGCACTTAATGAGAAACTGTTGGATTTGAGCATTGATCATGTATATATTACGAGAAAACTTTGTAACATTTTCTTATTTGGTTACTTAACTTAGACCCGAAAATTCTCTTTTATCACTTATTATTGTAAATTGTAGATTACAATACAATCTATGATGCATTTGCATGGCATTTTGTTAAAACATTTGGAGGTGTAGAGCTATGTAATTTTATCCTTACATAAGAAAATTTTACGAGTCCATGTCGATATTGTTTTCTAACTTTTTACGCTTCATATATTTTTGGGAAAATGACATAAATGGTCTTTGAACTTTAACCCAATGTACAATGTGGTCCCTAAACTTTCAACTTGTTCAATGTGATTTTTTAACTTTTGGTACATGTTTAGTTTAGTCCTTGAACTATATGAAAATTTTCAATGTTGTCTTTCCATTCATTCAAGTTCAGGGACAACATTGAACATTTTTGTATAATTCAGGAACTAAGTTGAACATGTACCAAAAGTTTAGAGACTACATTGAACAATCTGAAAGTTCAAGGACCATATTGCACATTGCGTTAAAGTCAAAGGACTACACAGAACAAATTAAAAGTTCATGGATCACACTGTACATTGGGCCAAAGTTCATGGACTATTTGTGTCATTATCCCTATATTTTTTGCTCCGACGCTTTTGAACATAATCGATCATCATAAATTTTTTTTCGTTTCATATACAAAATGAATCATTTTTACATGAAATCACAAAGAAACTTTAATTTTGCTGTATCTCAATTTGTTGGAAACAGAAATGGCCTAACATTAAAGTTACAGGTGTAATGTGATCATCCATAATAATGTCCATCACTTTTAGTTAGCAGGTGCCAATGGCCAGAATAGTCATGGGGACGGAATGAAGAAGAGTTTTAGGTAATGCAATCTAGTCTTCCGGGCTGGTCATTTCACATGTTCTTTCTGGGGTCTCCTGAAGCAGAAGTAATATAATAGTTTCTAGCGGGCCCAACAAGGCCCACACAAACTCACCAATGAGCCCCTCCTCATTTTCTTTCTGTCCTTTCTTCTTTGCCCTGTCTACTATTGTCGAAAGGAAAAGAAAAGGGAAGTGAATGCATTCAGATATCAGGCAACTCAAATAAAGGTAGAGTGTTCAATGAGCTCATGATCATCTGATGTTTATTCCGCGCTGTCATGTTAACGTGTTGGTACCGATCCAAATGAATGTTGTCGGATACGTATGATAAGAAATGTACATTATCTATTGTCTATTCGTCGGATCACTTATTACTTAGACATGTCTTGATAACACGTCGAACATTCATGGAAAACGCTTAAACAAAGCACGAATGCTTGAAGGACCCATGTGACTAAAGATAACTCGAATTGTCTAACTCAAGGGTGTCCATTAGTTCATGCTTTTTAACCAACACACATGAGATATATGAGTAAAGTCTTGATGGCATGCCTTTCCAGCTACTGGAGTTAGTGCCAGTATACTCAGAGCTCAACTCAATTAGCTATTCGAATTATTCGGACGCAACTAGAACTCGGAAAAACACCGAGCCGAGCACGGTGGCAAAAAATTTGACGAAGTGTCTCAAAAAGGGCCAATTTGCAGCTTGCAACATAAACTACAAAGAAACTTTTATGAACAGCTAGCATCCAGAACTTACAAGCACCAAACTTAGTGAATAAATTCTTGCGCTCTGGCTATGCCCTCTCAACCATATCCTAAGATCATATAACAAGGAAGAACAACAACAACAACAACAACAACATAAAGAAGTGACAATGACCAGCTAAAGAAGCAGCTTCTGAGGCATTGAAATAGTAGTAAGGATAAGAGTAATCATGCCCTCCCATTCCCGTTCCTGGAATCCCAGGACCAGAAGGTGCATTGTTGGAGTACTTAAAAGGAGGCGGCGGAGCGCTCCACGAAGGGTAGAGCGACGGCGCCTCGGGCGGCGGCAGCAGTGTTGGCAGAGGCGGGCCGGGAGGGGTCAGCGGCAGAGGCTCCAGCGATGGTGGCGGCGGCGAGGAGTAATAGTGAGACTCGGGCGGAGGATGATGGTGGTGGACAGGCAGCGGTGGTGGGGGCAGCGTCGGGAGCGGCGGCAGCGGCGGTGAGGGCAGCGTCGGGAGCGGTGGCAGCGGAGGCTGATATGTTGGCATTGAGAGTGGAGGAGGGGATGAGCAAATGACAGGGCAAGTGGCACAATCACTGATGCAAACTACGCCAGTAGTGGGTGTGGTCAGGGGCATTTGGCCCTGTGAAGTCACTCCACCTGTGAGCCAGAGCAGTGCACTGAAGATTCCAACTTTGAGTACCAATGGAGACCCGAATGAGCTCAACCTGAGACAAGTCCAACTCATCTTCTTGATGATGTTTCAGCTGGCATAAGCTTGAGAAGAAGAGAAGAAGCTGCTTGGTATGGCGATTCACCAGAAGGTGTGAACTCAAGAAACTACACTGTTGTGCTTGTGCTTATCTTGTCCTTTTTGGTGAGTGACTTTATGATGAGTGGCAAGATACCCCTTTTGCACTCCTTAGCTGGTGTGTGTTTCTTTGTAAAGCTGGATTCTTCTCTCTCCCTCTGTCTGGTGTGGAAGAGGAGCCAAATGGAGTCTCTAGTTCATTACTTAATGGAAGTTTTATCTGTTCGGTTTTGGATTAACCACTAAGAGAAGATTCAAAAAGTTGAATTCAGATGCACCCTTTTTGCGGGGTGTTGTGGCTTCTTTTCTTAGTTTAATTCGGCCAAAGTAGGGCGCTACTCCCAAGAACTTTCCCTTCAAATTTCTTGAAAATTGCACTCTACGAGTGAGACAGCATTGTCAAAAGTGCCTTGACTATTGCACTGTGCCCTAAATTTATGGATGTGATTGCACAGATTTTAGCCTTGATGCCTTATGTGTGAATGGGAGACGCAGCTCACCCACAGGGCAGGACAGAGTGGGGACATGGGGACAAATTTCTACTCAATGCCGCGCGCATAGTTGGGCTGATATTTGGATGCAAATGTTCGTCTAAAGTTGTTTTCATAGAAGGGATCAAATATCGTCGTTAGATCTTGTGGGACCGTACTCACGCATGATTCGCATGGATTGGCCCGGCAATGTGCTCTCTCTGGAGCTTCTCGCCAGTCAATTATTGATCCCTCTATGACAGAGTTATCTCCTCCTTTGGATATGAAACACCAAGATTACAAGTCAAGAATGATGTCTATCAGATAATCAGAGAAAGAATCACCATGTTGGACCGTCAAGAAATGAATCATTGCGAGGACCCAGAAAAAGGGGCTTTATTACATGAAAGGACAGAATTTAGAGACCCCCAGAGATAAAAGTGTCTATTCTTTTAATCCCCTTTTATTCCCATGGAGTGGAATCCTAAGTGAAAGTTGCTGGACAGATGCTGTTGCTTTTTTGCTTTTGACTCTCACATATCACAACCCAATCACCTCGTTTTGTGCATCAGGTCCTAGCCACACAGACACACCTTTTGCTTTTATTCTTCTTTATTCTTATGCTTCTCTTTGGAAGGTTGGCCTCCAACATTCCACTTCCATTCCTGATTCTAGGGAAATCTTGTTTGTATTCAATTGAATTAGAGGTTGGCATCATCACATTACATAAGTAATGTTTTTTCAATTGAAAATCTCAAGAAACCTAGTCTAAAAACATGTAACTTAGTCTCGGCAACCTGATTGTTAGAATGATTACCACAAAAAATAAAATCACGAGAAGACATGATAAGGCCAAGAAACTTGGAAGAAATGCGGTGTCGATACTCGTCATAAGGAACACCTAGAAGGCAAATTCATTCCAAGAGCAAATAGAAAAGCTGCCTTCGGTCAATGCAGGTAGCACAAAAATTTTGATTTCAAGCGGTAGTAATTGTCTGCTGAAAAAAGCTTAAGTATACACATTCCTCACTGAACTGTTTTCTAATATCAACAAGCCTCCAAAAAAATGATCTTCACAGTTTAATCTGATTGGGTAATAGCAGGACCAGGATCATTGCATACCATGTAGCTTTTTGTGTGATGAGTCCTGAAACTGTGAGTTCTTCAAGATTGGTCGATGTCATCCTTGCTCGCATATGCATTCATTCATCCATCGTTTCCATCAGTTGAAGTCTCATATGACAGACCCTATATAGATGCCAGCACGATATCAACATACAAAACAAAGACGAAACTTATTTGAAACGCTATTGATTCTAGTATAAATGCAACATTATAAGTAAGGAAGATGTTATGGTTAAGAACAGCTTTTCCCTTTTACTCTCCTTATATTATGTCTAAAGGAGTGTAATGGATATAATTCTTCAGTCAAGTGGATGCCAATCTCTTAATGAATAGTTTCGAGTTTCAGCTTTTTCACAGCTATTCTCAATGACTGTATGCATGCATATTTGTTATTAAACCCGCCTTCCCTCGTCATATTTTGCACACAAATTGAGAAGAATTTCCATGAAAGAAGGAAAGGCCTAAAAAAGTGATATTTTACAAGGTAACTAGAAAACAAAATATAAACAGAAAATCATCTGTCCCAGCTTTTTGATGCGTATCAAATGCAAATCCATGTCAGTTGTTCTGATTAGTTCTCAGTTCATGTTTCTGTCCGTCCAAGCGATGAGGATCAGATGTGATGTAGGATGCATCCATTTAACTTGTTGAAAGCTATAAACAAAACCAAGCTTAGTGTCTAGTCATACCTGACGAAGACTTAAAACTGGAGAACTTGGTCCACGGCTTACAACGGTGGGAGAGCTAGGTCCATGGCTGGGACTGTTACCACTGCTACTTTCTAAGTTGCTTCCAAAATCCCTCAGCCGGTTAAGCTCTGGCAATACAACCGTTCCAAGATCAGGTCTATCCTTCTTTCGCAGCTCTGCGCACATTAGAGCCATTTTAGCAAATGCTAAAGCCTCTTCCACTGGCCAATCTGGCACTGCTGGATCGAGCATCTCTTTGAACGTTCCCTTCTCGATGGCAGTTCTAACATGGTGGGACAGCCCCATTGCGGGTCGAGCTGTGATTATTTGAAGCAACATTATCCCAAAGGAGTACACGTCTGATTTGGTGGTTAATTTGCCCGTCTGTTGATACTCTGGATCTATATAACAAAATGTTCCTGCGGCCGAAGTCATGTGAAATTGCGTAACACTATCTGCTATAGCAGGCGGGACCAACCTCGCTAGGCCCACATCACTAATCTTGCTCTTGTAATTACGGTCTAAGAGGATGTTGGCTGGTTTGAGGTCCCTATGAACAAGGGGCTCAGGCTTGGATTGGTGGAGAAACAAAAGAGCTGTTGCGATCTCAGATGCTATATCAAACCGCTTATGCCACGAAATCGGAGGGGTTTTGCCTTTTCGAAATAGGCGGTCTTCTAGACTGCCAAAGTCCATATATTCGTACACCAAGCATCCATACTCAGGGCACGCTCCTAAAAGGAGGACCATGTTTGGATGTCTCATGCAGCTCAGAACCTCGACCTACATTTTTGGCATAAGAAATTAGCTTTATGAGATAAAATGGCATAGAACAGAAATGTTTCGTATAAATCTGCTGAAAATATGTTGTTTTAAATAGTGTGGGTCACTCCACCTACTCCCCCAAGCGTGTCGTTTCCTCACATTCGGAGATTCTAAAACTGATGCCTCCAGAGATGCATTCGTTCAAGCCAGAAGATCTTAGTACGAATAGAGATTAATCAAAGCTACTAATTCTCATTCCTCGGGCGTACTGATGAACAAATCCAATGAAAACTATGTTTTCTTTTTGTGTGTGCATCTGTTGAACGCAAGCAACCAGACAAAAATTTGTTTACCTCTTGATGGAATTGCTTTTTCCCTTGAACAGCATCAGGTCGTAATACCTTGATCGCTACAGGCGTGTGGTCGAGCTTTCCCTTGTATACCGGCCCATATCCGCCTTCACCAATCTTATTAGTCTTCGAGAATTTGTCGGTTGCTTCCTCAATTTCTTGTATGGTGTATTTCCTGTATCGGGAATCATTCTGGTGCAAAGCACTCAGTGCTCGAACCTTTTCTTTCGACTCTAGCTTGGCTTTTATCTCAGCCTGTCTCCTTCTCTGTGCCTCCATTTCAGCCATCTTCTGCGCCTTCTCTGCTGCTTCAATGGCAGCTTTGCACTTAGCCTTTTCCATCTCGGCAAGAGCGAGAGCTGCCTCTTCTGCAAGCCTGGCTTCCTCGAACTTACGAGCTTCTTCAATCTTCAACAGATGAAGCTCTTCAGCCTACAAAAAAACAATACAATCCCCATGATCCTGTCAGTTACACTCGATACCTTTTCAATAGCTTCAAAAAGGGGCACCTGTGAAATGCGAAAAGCTTAACCAAATTCCATGTCCAATATGTTCATTGCCAATTATAGAATGATCTAACAGCAAATTAACATGATGTATTTACAACACTAATCAAGAAGTTCCTAACCGCAAGATAGGAAGATATGCATCAGTCTCAATCTCACATTAAGTAATTGTAACTTATTTTCATCCATCCCCAAGTGCAAATTCTTTTACTGTTAATTAGAGGGCTTTTTCGAGTATTTGTCAATAATTAATATCGCAGAATGAGAATATAACGAGTGAAGGAAGGCTTCCCAAATTACCACTCTCTAGCAGACCTAGTTGGTGTATATATCAAATATTTTGGAAAGTTTAGTAAAATATCGTCTAGATAAATATAGACACAAAACCAACTGACGGGCACAAAGGGTATCTGTATCTGATGAACTATCAAGAAAGTCATCCGTGCATTAAAATTTGAAGACATAACTTTACCTGCTTTTTGGCGGAGATGGCCTCTTTGCAAGCAGTGCTGTACATGTCCATGGTTTGCTTAAGTTCAAGCCTGAGTCTTTTCATTTCGGCCTCTAGTTCTCGCTGTAAAGGTATTACGCTCAGATTGTGAAAATTGGATTGGACGTTTTGAAAAGATGATTGCGAACTTTGGCGCTTAGACATTGATGCGGTGACTCACAATTCTCTAGAGGGTTGTACTTACAGAAGATTGAGAGATTGACGAAGATGCTAGCGAATCCGAGTCCACCATGCTGAAATCCAAGTTCTGGCCCGCCAAATCCATCGATCCAAAAGAAAGAGACTCCGAAATATCACTGTCGTCGGACATAGAATTTCGCTGTGACGAAGAACTGAGCCCACGGAGGTCAAGATTGTCTACCGACAGGTTCACTGCAGCAACTCGGTTCCTCTCGTTTCCCATACTCATCATATCCGATCCTGTACTTCTTCTTCTTCCCCTGCCGTTTCCTCTGATTTATCAAACAACATTAGGACAAACGAAACTTGCCACTTTGACTTCTAAGAAAGGTCCTTTACGACACTTCTGATGAGTCTCCTATTTTAGATATTGGTGAGCATCGCTCGATTTGAAATGCATAAATACTTTTAGTCACATGAAACAATCTCATGCATCCACATAATCTCGTGTTCTATCAACATGCAATAACTCATTGACTGTAATTTCCACATCTAATAATGCATGAAGAGGTACATTTTCTAAAGAGTAAGGGCCTAATTCAGTATCTACTACCTGGCTGCGTCCTGGAGCTTGATCTGTTCTGGCGAATAAATAGGAGAGACGCAGCGAGAATTTGGCTGTCTAGGGGGAGTCGCGGTGTTTACCACAGGCCGCCGCGCTTGCCGGACCGATACTACCTTCCCTTTTGAAATCACGTAGACGCTACAAAAGTCAGGCGCGGATTTCGAAACGGAGGATGACACGTCGGTGTACTTCAGCTTTCTAAGGTCCAAGAAAAAGAGAACTAACTTAATTTTTTCGTCACTGTTTGATAGGGAAAGAGAGAGAGAGAGAGAGAGACCTGGCTAGAGTGTTCCGACTCGCTGCGCCCATGACAATGCTAGTGATGCAGTTGTTTGCGATATATTCCAGAAGGCCTTTGGCAACATCATTCTCCTCAATGATCACCTCATTTATTTGAACCTACAGCAAGTTTTACCCTGAGAGTGAATCTGATTTGTTTGCGTTCATCAATCGCCATCCATTTCCCAGTAAGAATCTTCCGTCAACCATTTTGCCATTTCTTGTCTATCGAACTTAAGTAAAAGTGATAGATGTTCAAAACCAAATGCTACCCCATCTAAAAGCTATTCATGGAACATCAGCTTCAATTATATGAGAAAGTAAATAAAGAAACCTGATGCCATGTTGATGTCCAGAGCTGTGATATTCACGGATTGTCCAGAATCTCAAAAACCGAAATCCGAACCATGACTTAATCTAGACACTCATACTTCGACACGTGAAATGTTTGATTTGTGCACGAAAACGAGAAACTGGCATACCCCTTTTCGAGCGCAATATCCCCGGTACATAGCGAAAAGATCTCGCGATTCTCCGTCCGCTGGGTCTCCCACAGCATCAGTGCCAGGAGCGATTGCTGAACCAACATTCATAAAATCTCAAGTGTGAACAAAAACCGAATAGTTGGAGCGCGAAATCCAATTCATTCACAATCCTCATTTTTTCGTCTTGTGAATTCGAGAAACCGAAGAGAGAGATCGAGGGTACCTACTGTGTTGCGAGTTCTTGTTCTTGACGTGGATCAGGGTCATAACCGAGCCGTTGGCCCCGAGATGGTCGATGGCCCACCGCACGGCGTGCGGGCTGTTCTTGTCCTTGTCGATGGCCACGGCCACGGTGGCAGTGCCCGCGGCGGCGGCACTGTGGTCGGACGACAGCTGGGACGAGGCCATCTCGCGGACCGTCGAGCGGGGGACGGGGCTGCGGCCGGGGCGGCTGCTGCCGGCGTCGGTCCTATCTCCTCGTGGGGTGGTAGAGCCGCTCCCGGGGTTGCGGCCGAGGCCCCCGGTGGGGAGTTGGTTTGGGAAAAGAGGCTGACAAATGAGGTGAAAGCTCATTGTGCCTGTGGCCTGAGGGTCTTCTGCGTTTCTTTTCCTTAACGGACATCGGCGACATTAACGAACTTTACCTAATTTGCGCGCCAAGCTTTAGACCTATTTTTGGCAGTTTGACCAGGTCGTTATTTTCTGGATGCATAATTGATTAGGTAAATTGACACGTCACCACTTGTCCAGTCCATTTTGGACGGACAAGACAGTGCGGCTAATTGCTTTTTTTTTCGCTTGGATGAATTGTTTTTTTATTATTATAAATTACCCAGAAATTTATCTATTTTAAAAAATGTGAGAGCTTATTACATAAATGGGAAAATGATGCAAATGATCTTTGAACTAATACGGTCCATGAAGTTTTAATTTATTCAATGCGGTACTTGAATTTTAACCTAATGTGTAATGTCGTACTTGAACTTTTAAATTATTCGATGTGAATCCTGAATTCTTGGTACATGTTCAAACTAGTTCTTAGATTATACAAAATATTTAATATTATTCTTCCATTAATTTAAGTTCAGGGATAACATTGAACATTTTCATATAATCCAGGGATCAGTTGGAACATATACAAAAAACTCAAGGATTATATCGAACAAATTAAAAGTTTTATAAATGGTATTGCACATTAAGCAAAAATGCAGGGATCAGATTGAGCAAATTGAAAGTTTGATGACCACATTGCATATAAGGGTAAGCACGGTTCCAGGGTAGAATTTGAAACCTGAAAACCGATCCGATGAGAACCTATCGTTTCATGTTCCAAGGTATGCATGGTAGGTTTCAAGTTCAAAAAATTGAGGAATCTGTTTTGACAAGTAAGTTTCAAGTTCTAGGTAAATGGAACCTAGAACCTGGAACTTGACACCTAAAACCTGAATGTTGTGTTTTTTTTTTTGTCTATGTCTTTGCGCGATCATATGGTATTCCATGGCGTCTGACGATGAGTGTATTATTTAGAATTATTAGTTTGAGTTTTCATTTTATGACTAAGACTTTTATTTTGTTAACGTTTTATATGCTTCGCGTATCTAAATATAATTTTATGGTCAGTGGATTGTAGTAGCAAATAGTGGTCATTAAAAGTGATGATATTCACTACAATCTTTCAATTAATAACACATATGGAATTTTGATAGATCTTGGAACCGATCCTGGAACCTGTAACAAGATAAGTTCTATGCTATAAGGTATGTACGGTAAGTTCCAAGTTTCGAAAAACGAAAAACCTGTTCTGATTGGTAGGTTTCAGGTTTCTGGTGGAACCTGTATGGAGCTTAGAACTGCTCACCTCTAATTGCACATTAGCCCAAAATTCAAAGATCATTTGTGTCATTATCCCTACGTAAATTCACTCTAATTTGCCGATGACAGTATGTTGTACACATATGAATCGTACACAGTTTTGGGCACGAGTACAATTTGGGCAGGCGCTTAATCCAAATCAAATGATGTGATTTAATTAACCGATGTTCTTAATTCCACGTCACTAATCGGTCCGGTCGACGCTACGTGGCCTCATCGGTTTCGATCATGTGTTTGGCGAAAGGAGCAATGTGAAAAAAATTATACGATCGGGGGGGCTTAATTGAAAAAGACAAAAAATTTCAAGGACAACATTTCAGGGACCGGCGGCTGACGGCGTCGTTTGGGTCTTCTTCTTCCACAGCCGATGCTCCAGAAAACCCTGGAAATCGCGGTCGGGGAGAGGATTCTCCGAATCGGAGATTCGCCTGCGCCGAGGTCACGGCACGGAGCTCCGGCGGAGTTCCGGTAGAAGATGTCGACGGTGTACGTGTTGGAGCCGCCGACGAAGGGGAAGGTGGTGCTGCACACGACGCACGGCCCGCTCGACATCGAGCTCTGGCCGAAAGAAGCGCCCAAGGCCGTGAGGAACTTCGTTCAGCTCTGCCTCGAAGGCTACTACGACGACACCATCTTCCACCGCATCATCAAGGACTTCCTCATCCAAGGTGGCGATCCTACTGGCTCCGGCACAGGTCCTCCCCCCCTCTCTCTCTCTCTCTTTCTGTCGCTCTATTGAAATGAAATTGCAGGGATTTTGAGCAAAACCAATAGGTTTGGTGTGTTAGCGGTAGAGGGTTTTGTCGGTAGTTGTTGCTGCTGGTGATGGTGATGGCTGATGTGTTGTTGCTGTTCTGTTGCATTAGTTCACGTGACACTAGAGATTGGATGAAGTCTGAAGATTGGGTTACGCCTCAGGCAACAGCACATCGCTGATTGTTTAATTCGGTCGAGAGCTCTTTTTAGATGTGAGGTTTATTTGCTTGTTCCTGGAGTGGAAATTGCTGGGAAAGTATTGGGTTTTGGTATTAGCAGTGTGGAATCGGATTTGCTTTGACGGCTAGTCTTCTTAGTTCCCCGAAGCAATTGGCTTTTTGATGAATGAAGTGGATTTTGGACCTGTACACCCTGCTTATTTAGGGTTTACGTGGCGATGCGTGAGCTAGATTGGTTCTGTGTATGTTGGATGAGAAATTCCTTGACGTGGATTTTCCACTGACATCAGCAAGTGTGGTGATTTCAGGTGACGAAAGTATTTATGGGGACGTGTTTGCTGATGAGTTCCATTCACGTTTGAGGTTCAAACACAGAGGTTTGGTGGCTTGTGCCAATGCGGGATCACCACACTCCAATGGGAGTCAGTTTTTTATCACATTGGATCGATGTGACTGGCTTGACCGAAAGAACACCATTTTTGGAAAGGTAAACGTGTGACGAGTCATGAGCGATGTGTAGATTGCGAGTCGCTTGATAATTTTCTGCTTTTCCAGGTAACTGGTGATTCAGTATACAATCTTAGTGGACTAGCTGAGCTCGAAACTGACAAGAGTGATCGCCCGTTGGATCCACCCCCCAAAATAATCTCAGTGGAGGTAGGTTCTTGTCATGCTTCTAAGAGTCTTTGAAGAATTGTAACTAGAGGAACAGCATGATGTTGCTCCTCAGAGGTCTATTCCAAATCCAGATTTCTATGATGGTTTGCTCGCTGTTTGTTTTATCAACCCGCTTATGTTGGTTCTGCCTGCTTCTCAGCGACCTTAATCGCCTTTTTTTTTTTTTGGTATAACAATTCACTACACCAGGTACTCTGGAACCCTTTTGAAGATATTGTTCCTAGAGCATCAGTGAGGTCTTTGGTTCCAACTGTACCTGATGTTCAAAATAAAGAACCAAAGAAAAAGGCTGTAAAGTAAGATGTTCTTCACTTATATGATATGACTAATGCAGGGATATCCATAACTTCCCCCACAGCTATTCAAGAATATAATTGTCTTATTTCTTTGTAGAAAGCTGAACTTGCTTTCATTTGGAGAGGAAGCTGAAGAGGAGGAGAAAGAATTGGTTGTTATTAAACAGAAGATCAAGAGCAGTCACGATGTGCTTGATGATCCTCGTTTGCTGAAAGATCATATACCAAGTAAACAATTGGTAATTAGACAGTCGGTTTTATGGTATAATAGCTTGGGAAATAGAGAATAGCTTTTCTTTTTCTTTAGACAACCTTGGTCCTCCATTCTGAGTGGGGGGTTGCATTTGCAGTGTTTTGTTCTATGCAGGTGCAACATTTTCTATCTGTTATACTTGTTTTTCGATAGATTATTTACACTTGGTGATGCCAACTGTGAATTGCAGGATTCTTCTGACGGCAAAACCGCAAGGGATGTCCAATCCGTTAGAGAAGCTTTAAGCTCAAAGAAACAAGAGCTGCAGAAAGAGTCCGGATCTGGATTTTCAAATTCATTTAGGGAAATTGCCGATGATGAAGAAGATGACGACGATGATGCGAGCTTTGATGCAAGAATGCGTAGGCAAATACTTCAGAAAAGAAAGGAGCTGGGTGATCTCCCTCCAAAGCCAAAGTTGCCTGGTACTGAATTAACATCTGATAGTGCAGTTTCATTTATTAAGTTACTGTTGCACCGACATGAAGACTTTTGCCTTTTTTTTCTGTTGCTCCTGTGGACGTCAACAAAAGAAAACATAGTCACTCAGAGAGATTGCTTTTTCTATGTTTATGGCATCAGACTTTGAACTGAAAATCATGAGTAGAGAATCAATCAATGGCTATAACCAAAGCAGTGTAGTGGAGTGATTGTTGTGAAGTGCAAAATGTAGACAACATTGCTAGTGTGAAGCAAATGTAGACATTTTGGGAAGATGAGTCTCACTTCAGCCACATACTTCTTCTAGGAAATGATTTGAGGAAAAAGCAAGAGTCAATTATGAGAAAGATCAAACTCAGTAGTTTGTATCGAGGATATCTTAGGAGAATCATAAGGGGACAAAAACTAACGATTACAATCATGAGATTTCACAAATGAGTTTGTTTTTTTGGATATTCTTGAAATGTCCTGAAACAATTGCATGGTGCAGCTCTGCTTTTAGGGTTCTGAAATCCCTTCTCTCCCACTTCACACCTCGGAGCGCACCGTTATTATAGAGAGAAAGGTTATACCTATCTGATAATTTTTATACTGGTTCTTTGAAGTTGGTTTACTTTTTTCTTCCTCGTCACATTTTGCTTGGAGCTTTACACTCAATTTGAGGTATTTGACTCTCGAGAGAAGCTTTATCGTCAACTGACATAAAGAATAAGAACTGCTTATTATTGCTAAAAGTTACCTGGTGACATTGACAGGACAAGATAATTGAAATTATGCATAGGTGCTCCTTTGCATGGTTGTTTACTCAGTTCATCATCAAATCCGACTTACTTGTGCTATATTGCTCGAAATGCAGGGACTTCTGCCAGAAAGGATCGGGAGACATCTATTTCAAGGTAAAGAGAGAGAACCTAATTCATAAATTAAGGAAATTGTAGATGTTTATCCATTATAATTCAAAATGTCTGTCCTACTTAACCTTGCTCTGCCAGTGAGCAGTGGTTTCGTCATACTTCCTTCTTTGTACAAACTTTACTATATCTTAAAAGAGAAGCTGTTATAGGATCAAGTATTCACCATACTCTGCTTATAATAACA